GACTAGCCTATTGTACATTTCATAAATGTATTTTGAGTCAATCTGGACCAGGGCATACAACAAATAGATTATAACAACAACAAACAACCTAAAGATAAAGAATGGCTCTGCAGGCCTGAACATATTTCTATATAAACGTTCTTACCAAAACTTTGCTGCCTTCTTCCTAGGAGATTGTTGCTCTTGCTTGTCATGAGATGCAGCATCAAGAACCCCTGTGGAGTAAAGACACACTTAAAGAGATAACCTGTCCCGTGGCTGTCTTTATCACAGATTTGTACCTCCGGAGCAGTGTTCACTATATGATGTAGATGAGTTAGCAGTTTCCTGGAACCATTTTTTTGGAACCAGTTATTCACCGAGGGAAAGTAAAAGGAGTGGATATAAGGGACTGAACAGATAGAATTGGCTAAATGTATACACCCTGTACATATGACCTGTACATAAAGAGCTAAGCAATGCAAAACAATATAGGAAGCATTGTTTTATGTGTAGCCAGACATACACCTGATTGAATTGCACAAAAATAAAGTTTAAAAATAAGTTTAGAGAAAACACAATATAACTTAATGAATGTCAGAGGCTCAGTGCCAACCAGTGTAACCATTTCCAGGAAGCCGTTCCATTAAAACACTGGTGTGCAATGAGACCATTCAGTCCAGCTAGCCCATTTGATTGCCTTTTGATGCTAGGATCACGCCCAGCTGCTTCTCGAAGAATCCCAGAGCATCATATGAAGCACTATCGCTGGGCAGTCTGTTCCTGACTCCCACCACGCTTTGGGTAAATAAGAACGCCCTGCTTAAAAAAAAGAGTGCGTGCCGAGAGAGCAGGTTAACGACACAATTAAGCTAAAGTCCATACTCACATGACAGCATGTCATTGGTGACCGCAAAACACACCTGGAAACCAGAAAGAAAGTCCTTGAGACGAGCGACAGAAATATAGGGCATAAATATCATGACAGAAAATCATGGCAAATTAAAGGAAATAAAATGTTAAAGACAAAATGTATCTTCAGTTATTACAAGGAAATATTTCACAATTATGGGGGATGCCCTACTGACTTTGTACCACGAAATCTAGACATACAATAGCTTCCCGAGCAAAGATAATTCATCTCTCTTCACTCACTGGGGAACTCAGGTTCACTTGTCTCCCGTGGACTCAGTTATGTATTTGGGAGGACATTATTTTAAAATACAAACAACAATATATTAGTTATAAGCTAATAAGAGAAGTAATTCTGAAATCCAGAAATCCACAGGGAGTGTCTCTTCATTCCCAGACCAACGCCCACATCATTTAAGAAACAACAGGACAGCTTTTAATTGATACAGATTCTCTCCCCGTGTGCGAACTTGTGTTTAAATACCAGTCTTCAGCTTTTGTTTGCTTTTCTTTTTTGTGTGTGCTAGTCTTAAAGACGTTTTCCCATCACTTATGAAAATACTGGAACAGGCTAACGTCTGTCACCAGCCTAAGCACAGAAAAAGTCAAATGTGATGTTAAGACACCACTGCCTTTGCACAAACACAACTGCTATTTGTATTACTTTTAATTTTATTCATTTTTGTCACCTGTTTTGATTTCTGTTGTTAATACGTTTCCTACCACTGTACTCTGAACCTCAGGATCGTAGCCATCATGCAGTAAGAGCTACCTCGGTTTTATCAGGGATCACTGTGCACACAAACTGTTCCTCCTTAGGAATTGATAACTCGCTCATTTATAACTATAATGTCCGGTTACCTGATGTGTCTTGCCATGGGACTGCAGATTTTGGCTTTCAGGGAAACTGTTTCTCACCAACACCGTCAACACGTCTGTGGTGGGGGAAAACGATATTTACTGGAACAACTATGAGCACCGCACCATCACATTTAATAACCATAACAATTCAGGAAGTGACTATTATTT